TATTTATAAAAGGCTTCGAAACAACATGCTGGTGATTTTTTGTTATTATTAACAATAATTGTATACTAAAAGTTAAAATATATTTTATTGTCTTCATAATATTTAGAGTAAAGTGAAGAAAAGTACTCGAGTAATGAAGGGGGTGTACAAGGGGCCTAAAAAGGCCTAAGTGCCGGTGGAAGACAATTCCACCACCCTCCGACATACATACATACATACATATTTAGAGTAAATACAACAAATTTGTTTTTAATTTGTTAAGGGCCTTAAAAATTAAAATTTCACTAATTTGTAACAACTGGAACTGTTATCTTCGGTAATACTGCTCTTATAAAAAGTATATTAAAAAATTAAATATATTTTGTTACCTTTAAAATTTTTTAGGTAATTCGCAATTGTATACAAACCTAAAAATTTATGTTTTTAACCTATTTATTATTCAATGTATTTTAAAACTTCCTATTATACAATAGGTATACTACAAATTTGTTAATATTAAAAGTATATTAATAACTAAAATATATTATAGTTTTAGTTAAAACACTTGAAGTATTTAGCCTTTCATCAGGTGACGGACAAAATAAAGTGGCTCAAGTTTTGAAACAATAAGGTTTGTCAAATTTTAGAATATTTGATTAGAAACCGTATAGGTTTTTACTGCTTCTAGAACTCCAGTAAACAATAACATGTTTTGTAGTACAATATACCTATTGTTTAGTTTATAAAAGGTCTTGAATAATTAACGGAATTTGCGAAATTTATGTGCTATTATTAAAAGTATAGGTATTGAAAATTAAAATATATTTTGTTGTCCTTAAAATATTTGAGGTATTTCGTTTTTTAATTATATTTTTAGTTTATTACAGGCGTTGAAAAATTAAAATTACCGTTGACAGAATTTGGGTTTAGTAATTTATACATATTATACAGGGTGATTCAGAACTTATCCAAAAAAAAATTCTGGATGTACAGGGTGGGCAAATAAGCGAGGTAAGCGGCTGTATATCAGAAACTAGTGATCGTAGAGAGCTACGGTAAAAAATTTTATAGGTAAAGTGGGCAAGAGAAAATGCTGGAAATTATTTTCAAGTTTCCAAGATGGCCGCCAGTGGGCGTTTCCACCATATTGAATTACATAAAGTTACGTTTCTCACGATTTTCCCCAATGAATGTAACAAAAAAGTATTTGCGTTTTAATGTTAACTTAAAGTCGAATATTTTTTGTAAAAACAATTTTTCTCTATCTTTCGAAATAAAGTGGTGGGGGGTATTTGAATGTTGTTTGAAATAAATGCCTGTAACTTCGAAACGGCTTAATGGATTTGGATAAATTTGGTATCATTGAAAAGAGCATTTCTTGGGCTTTTAGGTTTCTCGTAATCATGACAGTTGCGACCTACACGGCCGCCGATAGAGGGCGTTATTCGATATTATAACCAAAATATTGGATTTTCTCAAAAAATTTAAATGCGATGATATGACTTTTTTTAGACTAGAAAATAGACAAATGACCAACCAATAAGCCTGCGCAAACCGCATCTTAATATCTTTTTCCTAACTCAAATTATTAAAAAAAAA